AGGAGTGAGTATGGGCAACGAACCAGTGAGGAATGTTTTTTAAAGGGGCAAGTTGCCTTTTTTTTTTTTTCAAGATTTATTTATTTAGGGGCCGGCGCTGTGGTGCAGAGGGTTAACGCCCTAGCCTGAAGCGCTGGCATCCCATATGGGCGCCGGTTCAAGACCAGTCTGCTCCACTTCTGATCTAGTTCTCTGCTATGGCCTGGGAAAGCAGTGGAAGATGGCCCAAGTCCTTGGGCCCCTGCACCCGTGTGGGAGACCAGGAAGAAGCTCCTGGCTCCTGGCTTCGGATCGGCACAGCTCTGGCCGTTGTGGCCATCTAGGGAGTGAGCCATCGGATGGAAGACCTCTCTCTCTCTCTGCCTCTCTTCTCTCTGTGTAACTCTGACTTTCAAATAAATAAATCTTTATTTAAAATACAGAGTTTACAGAAAGAGGTAGAGACAGACAGAGAGAGGTCTCCATCCGCTCCTTCACTCACCAAATGGCCACCACAGTCGGAGCTGAGCTGATCCAAAGCCAGGAGCCAGGAGCTTCCTCCTGGTCTCCCAGGGGCCCAAGCACTTGGACCATCCTCTAATGCTTTCCCAGGCACATTAGCAGGGAACTGGATCGGAAGTGGAACAGACAGGACTGGAACCAGCACCCCCATGGGATGCTGGTGCTGCAGACCGGGGCTTTGACCTGCTGCACCACGGAGACAGTGAGGAATTTATATTTACCGAAAGGCTCAGAATCCTCAGGAGTGGCACACCGTCGCCTAGACACCGCGATGAGACAGGGGCGAGGAGAATTTAAAACAGGGAGGGAGGAGGAGGATAGGTATGAGTTTCATCTCTGAGAGCAGCTGCAAGTATGGGGGCTACTTTGTCCCACTAAGAGAGGCAGACAGGAGCTGCGACAGAGAGAACCTGTGTCCTGAAGTGAAGTGTTGCAGCCCCAAAGGTGGCCAGGAACGGCCCTGGAGATACCGGGCTTGAGCGTCTCATCTGGGGGATGCTGTAGGGAAGGCGGCTGATTGACAAGTGCTGCGTCTTTGGACTCACTGCATGCTTTGGATCCAACGCACTCACACCCTTGCCCAGCTCGTCCAGGCGGCCACTGAGCAGTGGAGGGGGCCTAGAACCAGCCCTTTCCTGCTCGAGGGGATTCCGCTATCAGCAGCTGGCTCAGGGGCTGCCCATCAGCCCGGCTGAGTCTCTCCCTCCCGCAGGTGTCTCCGTGTGTGGCTCCTCCCATCCAGTCCTCTCCTCCTTCTCCTTTAAGTGGTCTTTCCCAGCTATTTCTGCTTTATTCTCCTTTTTAACATTTTCCCCAACAAGTATCCTTCACTTTGTGTTAGCTCATTTCCTCCGTTGGGGAACTTACCATGAAAAGGGGTTTATTTAGCTCACAGTTTTGGAGGCTGAAAACCCAAACAGCCGGCTCTGGGGAGGGCTCTTCTGACTGTGTCTCTTCGTGGCAGAAGGCACAGGAGAGAGGGAGAGACCCCTCGCTGAGACAGGAAGCAGGGGAGACCAGCGAGGGCCCGGCTGGATCTCCTACAACAGCCCTCTCCCTCTCCCGTGAACTCACTGGGGTCCCACGAGAACTCGATCGATCCCTTCCAAGGACAGCACCCTCACGACCGAGTTACTTCCCACAAGCCCCTACTGCTGAAAGGTTACACACCGCCTCCCAAAACTGCCAACTCCCAACACATGGATCCTTGGGGAGTGCACTCAAACCATAGTCATACAACGGCACACATCTAGTCCCGTGCTGGCATTCTCTTCTTGGAGAATCGCAATCGGCGTGCCCTGTTGTATTCTTGTGCATCAGGTGTGTGTGTGTGTGTGTGTGTGCGCGCACGCATGCGCTTTCCACAAGCTAGACTGGGAGGTGAGACCAGGAATTTTTTCTTTTAATGCTAATTGACCCCAAAGAATACTAGATTCTAGAAAACATGCTGATTGATATTATCATAAAATAAAAATAGCAATCACTTATCGAGCCCTTATTTTGTGCAGGGTTTGTGCTAAATGCTTTATGTACCTTACGTTATTTTCTTATAGGCACTGTGATTCCCCATTCTATAATCAGAAAGCTAAAGCTTTGAGAGAACACGTTGTTTCGGTCATCACACAGCTGGGAGTTGGCCGGTAGGGATTTAAACACTGGCTTAACCAATATTCCGCACCGTCTCCCAAGTTCTGCTTGGAAAGAACCTTACATGTCATCTAACACCCTCGAGAGATCACCCAGGAAGAGGCCGCATAGCCTTGGGTCGAACACCTCTTGTGCCGGGGAGCGCGTTCCCTCCTGATGGAGACAGAGAAGGGAAGCAGCGCACAGCGCATCCTCCCTGGACGCAAGGCTCTCTTCATTTTGCTCAGCCCTCCCAGGAACAGGCCTCCCCCACCACACCGAGTGACAGGTACCACCACCACAGGATAGGCATGTTGAAATAGGGGCTTGGAGGAGCCAGTAACGTGGCCTAGGTCTTGTCCCCAGCGAACGGCACAGCCAAGATTCGGATGCAGGTCTTTTCCACTGCAGAGCCCTTTCTACTGCTCACGTGGCTCTGGGAGACGAGCACCAACAACGAAGTCTTAAGAGCCGACATTCATTGAGCACTCCCTTTGCAACAGGCTCTGTGCTTTGCCTGGATGACGTCACTTGCTTTTCACTGTAGTCTTAGAAGAATTTTTATCATTGAGGCTACTCCATCCCCTGGCTCACTCCCCAAATGGCTGCAAAAGCTAGGGCTGGGCCAGGCCAAAGCCAGGAGTCTAGAACTCCATCGGGTCTCCCATGATGGTGGCAGGGGTCCAAGCACTTGGCCATCTTTTGCCGTCTTCCCAAGCGCATTAGCAGGGAGCTGGATTGGAAGTGGAGCAGCTGGGACTCAAATCAGCACCCATATGGGAAGACAACTCCGCAAGCGGCATCTTAACCTGCCGTGCCACAATGCTGGCCCCAGCTCACACCTTTTAGAACAATGCCCTGCTGTGTATGTATGCCCTTGTGTTGAGCTTGAACCCTCAGTCCTTTCTCTGGGCTCAAACAGAACTCCTGAAGCCCCCGTTTCCCAAGTCCTAGAACTGGGATGAGGATCACCTTCTATCGTCACCCCGGTCACCTTCAGCCCCATCCTTGGAAGGAGATTCCATGTATCTGCCCCCCGCCCTGAGAGCTGCCAACTGGTGGGTGCTGACTGCCAAGGAGGAGGACCATACATTCCGGTGAAAAGCAAAGTCAGATCGGCTCTTCAACTAACGGTGAGAAAGCAGTGACTGCCAGGCACCCGCACCGCAAGACGCATGGCAAGGCATTGTGCATTCTGGGGAGTGTCCTCCTGCAGGGCTGCCTTCCGGGGGGGCAGGGAGGCAAGGATGAGCGCGTGACCCCCCGCAGCTCAAGGGTTAGGGATGATATATGGATCGGATCGATCCAGTGTGAAATAATGCCAAGAATAAGGATGCAAATCAAAACCCAGGCAATAAATCTGCTGGGAGCTGAGGACTTATCTCATAGGGTTATTGGAAGGATTAAATGAATTAATGTATATAAAGTGCTTAGAACCGTACCTGGCACAGAGCAAGCGATCAATAAATATTAGTTAGTATTAATATCGGCTTTGAAATAAACCCAGCACGGTGAGAATGTCTCGTTCTTCCCAGGGAAGGGCTGTCAGGAAATAATAATAGTACCACTTACCCCAGACTGCCCGTGAGCTCAGCCTCGTACAAGGACGCATCACCTACTTCAGTCCCAACAACCTGTGTGTGGTAAGGCTCTCACCCTCACTTTAAAGATACGGAAGCCAAAGTCGTCCAAAGCTAGGCATCTCATCCCCGGCCGCGCAGCAAAGTGGTTAGGAGCTGCGGCTTCAGAATCAAACAGTTCAAGCTTTGAGTCCTGGCTCGGGCTTTGGCTGTGTGACCTAAGGCACGTGATGGAATGTCTCTGTGCCTCGAGTGCCTCATCTGTAAAGTAAGCTGATGAAACATATTTTCAGGGTGCCGTGGGCGCAGCAAGTTAAGGCACCACTGGGAATGCCGTCTTCCCATATCGGAGCACCAGTTCAATTCCCGGCTGCTCTGCTTCCAATCCAGCTCCCTGCTAATGCGCCTGGGCAGGCAGTGGGAGATGGCCTGAGTGCTTGGGCCCCTGCCATGCACGTGGGAGACCCAGATGGAGTCCTCGGCTCTTGGATTCCATCTGGGCCAGAACTCCTGGCTGTTGCAGCCCTTTGGAGAGTGAACCAGTGGATGGAAGATCTGTTTCTCTGCCTTTTAAATTAAAAAAAAAAAAAACTTTTAAAATTAAACAAAGGGGTGCTGTGAGGATGGAGTTACTAACGCATTGTAAAATACTTAGAACACACTCTAAGCATCCCATAAATGTCACACACACACTAGGGCACTTGAAAATGTTCATGGAAAATGGAATAAAAATTAAATTTCATTTGGTGCAAAACATTTTGAAACCCGTGCACGGATCTTTCACAATACACACTTTGCATCAATTTCCTGATGACCCCGGGTGTGTGAATTTCAGTTCAATTTGGATTTGAATCCAAATGAACTTTGACTCCCATGCCCCAGGAGCCTTTGCGGTACCCTGGTAAGTGCGTATGCGTTTTTACATGTGCCTACGTATGCGTGCATGTATGTGCACCTGTGCACACGTGTACGCACATGTGTGTACGCATGGGCGTGCGTGTGTCTACGTGGGCTTTGAGGGATGCACAGGAGTTTGCCAGGTGGAGAAGGGGAGAAACAGTGACAGGGCTGAGAGCACACACGGAGCCTCCCGCCCACAGCACCGTGGACTAGCTGAGCCCTAATCAAGGGGCAAATCGCCCTTAGCTGGAGAACAAGGGGCGGGGCTCCCCGGGGAAGAGCTTGGAGAACTTGGTCTCCCTGCCCGCCTCTGCGCATGGCCAGCAGCCCAGCAGTCTGGGAGTTCGCGACCCCGCCCCCAACAATCCCAGCCAATGAGGATGCCCACGTGGCGTCCCGTTGCCAGGCAACCGAGCGGGCCGGTCCTTAGGGTCAGCGCGGTTAGCGCTGGTCGCCGAGGGCAGCAAGCCCCGCGCTGGGCCTCCCGCAGTCCCGGGGGCCGTGAGAGCGTGGGGACTTTGCCAGCGGAGTTTTATTTTTATAGTTGAGATTTTATTTTCATTATTGGGAGAGGGAGAGCGCCCCCTGGCGAAGGGGAGTGTAACTTTCTAAGAAGTTCCTGGTTCTGGGCCCTTCGGAGGCTGCGTAGCTGGGACTTGGTGACCTGGGGAGACTGCTGGGCCGCCTCTCGACGTGGAAGGTTCTGCAAAAACCCCTCCCTTGGCGCAGGCTAGAGCCTGAAGGATTCCCAAGATGACCAAGGTTTCGGCCGTTAAGAAGACGCAGGCTTCCCCCCACGTGGGCGCCGTGTGGCCCCTCTGCACCTCCGAACACCTGATGCAGGTAAGTCCCCCCTCTCTGCCCAGAGGGGCCCCGGGGGCGTCAAGTTGGCCAGACAAGTTCCTGCTGCTCTCGGGGGAAATGAAGATGAACGGAGGGTTTGTCGCCGGCACACTCATTTCCAGAGCCGGGCGGGGCCGGCAGGGTGGGGGTCGTGCACATCCCCCTGCCCCCGTCAGGCTTTTGGGGCTGACGCTGGGTTGCTCCTCCCTTCGCGTCGCCGAACCTTTTGTTTCTCGCGTCTGGGAAATGAGAGCAGGTCCTTGCGCTGGGCCGGAGCCCCTGTGTCCTGATGCCGACGCTTGATAGCGCGTGTTCGTGTTCGGGACGTGAAGTTGTGTTGGCTTGAAAGACGGGGAAGCGTGGGCTGGTGCTGAGTGAGTACCGTCAGGGGCCTCTGTCTGTAACCCGCAAACAGACGTGCGTTGTTGGTACCCTCAAACCCCCGCGTCCCCACGGCTTAGCCACGGAGGTGAGCAGTGGGAGCGCCACCCACACCTTGTGGCTCATGGCCAAGCCCCAGGTGGCCTTGGGGAGTGGGGGTGGGGATCAGTTCGCCAAGAAGAGCCTGAGGTGCAGGTGCACTTTATACAGGGTCCGGAATAGTCTCCGGCTGCTTGCTGTCTAAGGATTCGCACATTTTAAATCACCCCTCCATACTCCGCCTTCCTAACGTGGCCGCCTTGCAAGACTTGGCTTTCACACCCCTGAAAATGCCACACCCAAGCGTGTTCAGTGTTCAGTCCGAGCAGCGCCCTCTGGGGCCGAGCCCCCCAGCAGACCCGTGGGGCAGAGAGAATGTGAGCGTGGGGGCAGCAGGGGCAATCAGCCTGGGTTTAAGCCCTCTGCAGCCCCGGGCCCTGGTCAGGTGGTGGAACTTCCCTGCCCCTGTGTTGGAAAGGGGGCTGTCTTTGCACCTGCTCCTGGCCGGCCCAAGCTCCTTAGACCCTCCCTGCCACGCCGCGAGCTCTCTCCAGATTTCAGCGGCAAGGTTGTTTTGTGCATTTAGCAAAGATTTATTGAACTCCTGGTCTGGGCTAAAACACTTGGCTTTTGTTAGACGAGACACGTCATTAAGACTCTCAGTCTAGAGTGTGTGTGTGTGTGTGTGTGTGTGTGAGTGATGGGGAATGAGAGATAAGACACAGCTGCTTCTGATGCAGGGCGATTAATGTGAGCCGGGCAAGGATCCCAGGGTGCTGTGGGGGCGCAGAGACAGGAGCAGCTACTTCAGGCTGTGCGGGCGCCCGCACGTGTGTGCTGGGTTTGCAGCAGAAGTTGTCACGACCCCAAGTCCCTGCAGTAGAGCTGTGCATCGCAGAGTGGCGGAAGATCAGAGAGGGGGAGGGGGGACTTCAAGGAACAGGGAGGAGGCTTCTAGGGAGCTGGCAGGGAAACGAAGACCCCAGGCCCTAAAGCCTCTGCAGACTCCTGCTGCCTTGGCCCCAGGTTCTAGGACGTGAGGAAGACCCCAGGGTGTCCTGGCTCAAAGGGGAGTGTCTGTGGACTTTCAGATTTTTTAAAGATTTATTTTTATTTATTTTAAAGGCAGAGTGACAGAGGGAGAGAGAGAGAGAGAGAGATCTTCCATGCACTGGTTCACTCCCTAAATGGCTGCAACATCGGGGCTGGGCCAGTCCAACGCTAGGAGCCAGGAACTCCATCCGGGTCTCCCACGTGGGTGGCAGGGGGCTAAGCACTTGGGTCGTTCTCTGCTGCTTTCCCAGAGGCCTTAGCAGGGAGCTGGATTGCAAGTAGAGCAGCTGGAACTTGACATGGCCCTCTGCTGTGGGATGCTGGCATCGCAGGTGGCAGCTTAACCCGCGAGCACAGAGCACAGGGCCCACGGGCATGCACGCTGCTGACCCTCATCCAGGCTGCCCGGAGAGTAACACACCCAGAAGCTCCACCCAGAAGCGACCTTTCAGAACCTCCCACAGTGCTTCAAGGTGTGGCCAAGGCTCAGAGAACAGAAGTCCCCTTCCCACGGGTACACAGCCGGCAGGGAGCAGAGGGGGGACTCGAACTCGGCTCTTTCTTGCTCCAGACTTCCAGCCGTCTGCACCTCTCCATGCTAACCAAGCGGTGCAAGGGATTTAGAAAAAAGGTGCAAGGCACAAGCAAAGGGCTTTGGGGTTGGTTTGGGGGCGGCGGGGGGAATGACACCCAGAAAGAGAGCAGCGGAGTTCCGGGCAGCCAGGTAGCAGTCCAGCTGAGAGTGACCCAGCGCCACCCTGTGCGGGGGGGGGGGGGGTGCGGGGACACTCCTGGCCCTGCGGGGCTGCATGGTCTCCCTGGCCCACCGCGGGCTGGCGTGGTTCTTGGTCAGACCCCTGAAGGACGTTGGGACGAACTGTTTCCCCTGCGCACGGGGAGAGAGCTTGCCGTCGTCTCATGGCCCCTGTGCTGCGGGTGTCTGTCCGGCGGAAGGAGGGTGAACAAGGGGCCAAGTCCTCTGCGTGGAGGTCGTCTGGGTGGGGGGGTGACCTTTCAGTTTGCCCCAGCTCGGGCTCCCTGGGACCCGCCTCAGGCTCCCTTCTTCCCGTCGTTTTCCAAGGAAGCAGGAGAGAAGTCTAACGGGATGAGCTCTGGAGGGAGGGAGGAGCAGGCTGGTCCTGTGCCTTGAGTGCGGGATTGCCGTGCACGTCCGGTCTGGAAAAGGCTGAGAAAGGGGGCGTTAGAATGCCCTGCGCCGCGGTCTGGGGTGGAAATGCAGAAACAGCACTGGCGGAAGCCGAAAAGCTGCCCAACCCTTTAGCCAAGCGGTGTCACCGGCGGCCCAGGGCAGAGGGCACAGGTGCTGATGGGAACGCAGCCAGACCTGAGGGTTTTGCTCAGATCCTGGCGCGGAGACCGCAGGAGCAGACGGTGGACTTGCAGGCCCCAGCTCTGCCGCTTCCTGGGCTGTCAGGTGAGTGCCTCTCTGCGCCTCAGTCTCCCCCTCTGTGAAATGGGGGCGCTGTGCTTTCTCCACTCCAAGACAAGTCATCAGTTTCTGGGTGCCATTATGAAAGAAAGCTACCGGGTCGACAACGACAACCCTGGGTTGTGTGTCCCAGTGTCAGAGATGTCAGAACATGGAAACAAAGTGTCCATCTTGGAGCGAGTGGAGTGGGCTGAAAGTGGCGCCCCCTCCCAAGCCTACTCTTGAGGGGCAGTGCAGACACCAAACGTTGGGCCAGGACGCTGGCAGGCTCAGACGGAGCCTCGGCACCGAGGGCCGGGCCGTACAGGACCAAGAGGGAAGAATGGACACTTCGGGAAGGATTTGCCCCCCGGACAGACTCCCAGCACTAGGCACAGAGCCGAGCTCCTGCGTGGGTGTGGGCGCTCAGCGGGGGACGCCAGGCTGCGTCAGCGGCTGAAGCTGGAAAAGCGAGGGGCGCGCCCTGTGTGCGGGATGCAAGAGGCCAGTCCACGTGGGGAGGGGTCGGGGGCAAAGTCTCGATGTGGGGGGGCTCTGCCTGTGGAGGCAGCCTGGGCTGGGCTCTGCGCCCCTCATGGTCGCTGGGCGGTGTGAGCGCCTAGGGGGCAGGTGGGACAGCCCCAAGGTCTCAGGTCTCCGAGGCAGAGGTGTTGGGAAGAGGGGGCCTGTGGCCCAGGGAGCTCGGCACCCGCGCCCCCTCCCCCGCAGGTAGAGGCACTGGTTCCTGGCTCCTGGCTGGAGGTGCGGTCGGCCCAGGTGTGAGGTCCAGAGGAGGCAGAGCGCAGACGGGAGCACCCCCGAGCAGGGCCCATGGCCAGCGGTGCCCGTTCCCGTAAGGGTGGAAGGGGAGGAGCAGCTCTGGTCTCACCTCTAGGACTGGGGGGCAGCGTGTCTGCAGGGGCCGTGGTGTGTTCCAGGAGAGCTTGCACTCCAGTGGCAGAACCGCTTGACCCAGCCAAGAGCTGAGCTGTGGGGAAGGGGGTGAGCAGGGTTCGAGTCCCATTCTTTGTGTTGGATGCCCCTGGAGAACCAGAAATCAGTGACCAAACAAAAAACAAATCCCAAAACTTTTTATGGCTGCAAGTAGAGTGAAAACTAGAAAACAGTAACATAAACAGATATGAACTTAATTTTCTCATGTGAGAAGTCTGGAGGTAGATGACAGCTGGTATCGGTTCAAGAGTTCACTCATGTCAGGGCCGGCAGAACCTCTTCCTTCGCAGTTACAAAACAGCTGCCCCAGCTCCGGGCATTACACCCTTATTCCAGCAGAAACAGGAAATAGTGGAGAGTTAAGAGCTGTGTGTAAAGCAGGCAAAGGTTTTCCAGGGACTTTCCCAGTGGATCTCCTCTTGTGTCCGATTGTCCAGGAAGAGTAGAGTCCTCCAGTGGGAACATTCGTTCTTGCAATTAGAGTGAGCGCCAAGTATGCACCAGGCATGGTTCTAGGTGCTAAGCTCCAAGTATGTACTAAGCATGGTGTCGCTCCCCCTCTTCGTGGAGGAACGACACAGAACCCTGCGTTGTTCTTTCGTCTGCTCGGCCCTCCCCGGGTTTGCTGCTGGTTCTTCCCGGGTTGGCTACCATCCCTTCCACCTCCGTGGAAGGGCAGTTCCCCCTGGCCGCTTTCCCCACTTCCGCAGGGGAGCGGCACACCGCCGGCCGGCTTTCTCGGGGGCTGCACAGGTGTTCCCTTAGATGTTCCCCTTAGATGTTCCTGGTGCATGCCGTCTCTCTCCTCCTTTATAGTCCTCCTCCGCCAATCCTAACTCGGCTGCCCACACGCCGAGTACGCTGCTCTCCTCCAATCAGGAGCAGGTCCTACAGTTTATTGGTTGAACTGGAGGCAGCTGTGTAGAAGCTGTTTTCTCCTCTCCCAGCGCCATATTGTGGGAGAGCAGATGCATAGAATAAGTCTTAATTCCAGTAACTCAGTCTAGTCCGGGTTGCTCCCCACAGATCCCCCTTTCTTTTTATTTTTTGGCGTTGATACGCGCCTGTCTTCGGTGTCCCGCGGCACACACTCTGTTCTACTTGCTAGAGTTGCCACAGGTTCTTACAAGTCCTATCAATCAGG